CGAACTGCAGAACTGCAGTCAGCTGAAGTAGCCTGCAGTGCTGCATTTAACCACTGCACCACCTCGGCTCTCTACACACACAGACACTCCCTGCAGGAAGGACCCTCTCTCCCTCCCCCTCCAATTGTCCCCCCCCCGCCCCACCCAAGGAGGCTCCTTACCGCGGCTCGTGCGACGGCCCGCTCTGCTTCAGCAGGACGAACTCGCAGTGCTGGTACATATACTGGGTGTATTCGATCAGGCCGCTGACCGGGTTCTTCTTCTGGCAGTCCATCAGCTTCTCCAAGGGGCTGCACTGGAAGGCCGTGTCCAACTGGGCGGAGTAGCTGGGGTACAGGGGGGACTCCATAATGTACCTCGACTCGTCCTGGGTGCTGATGGCGTTCATGTCCTCGGGGATGTCGTCGGTGGCCCAGCTGCTGGCCTCGAAGTAGCCGTACGGCGAGAAACGGCGGTACCGGGGGCGCTTGGACGAGGGACTCGACCACGGAGGGGGGCAGCCACCGCCGCCACCGCCGCTCGGTTCGGTCACCTCGGCCGCCTGCTGCCCGTTCTCGATTTTCTTCTCCTCGTTCTCCGGCGGCGGAGACGGGCGAGGGGAGGGCACCTCGGCAGGGGCCTCCGGTTCGGTGCACGGGGCTGGAGGCTCGTTGTCTACCGTAACCGCCTGCCGGACCTCTTCCGCTTTCATCTTGACTTGCATCCGTTTCCGCTTATTGTCTGTGAGGGACCACTTGGGAGGGCTGGAGTTCTCCTTGTGGACGTCGCCCAGTTTTTCCAGGGCGAGGAGGGTGGCGTTGACATCCCTGGCTTTGGTCAAGCCGATGTTCTTGGCCAGGTTGAGAGCCGTGGAGTCCGTCACCCCAAGGAGGAAGCTGCAGATCTTCTCCTTGATTTCGGCCATGTCAGGAGAATCAAAGGAATCCTCCTGGTCAGAAGACGAACTTCCTCCTCCTTCTTCTTCGGTCCCCAAACCAAAAAAGGGACTGGGATTCTTCTCCCGGCTGGCCGGACGTCCCTCTCGGCTTGCTTCCCCGGAGTCGCGACCGTCGGCTAGCCTCCACAATGGCGGGGTCGTCCCCGACCGACTCAGCTGCCCTCGGCGGTAAAGCTTGTAGAGGTGACGGTTGACCACTTTCTTCTGGGCGCGCAGCCGTTGGGCCAGCTGGCGAGCGGAGATGGTCTGCCCAGATTTCAGATCCCTCAGGATCTCCAGGAGATCTCCCTCCAGGTCCTGCTGGCCGAGGGTCAGCCCCTGGAAGTTAGAGACGAGTTGGTCAACTCCACCTTTCGGACAAGCGGCGAAGTAACTTGGTTTAGGAGGAGAGGGCGGCTTCGGTGCCTGCCAGCCACCCTTACCGGGAGGTCTTCTGACGGGCTCCCTGTAGTTGAACCATAAATTCGAACGGGGTGGTGGGAAGAATGTCCGAGGCGCTGGGGACCTCTGGGCACTGGGCTTCCACAGTGGAGCTTCGGAAAGTTCTCCTCGCAGGAAGAGGACCTGTCGCTGGTGAAGATCTTCGTGCCCGCCGGATCTGGCCACTGTCTGGTCTGAAGCTGTGTCACCAGCAGGGAATCTGCTCATAGCACGCGGATGGGGAAGGAGTGCAGGGGGGAAGGCATTCTCAGCCGACGTCGAAGAACCTGGCGAAGAGACAAGAAAGGCAGGTTTTCAAATGGGGTTGGAGGTGGAGAAGATCTTCCTGGCTCCCTAGTGGTGGCGCCCGTTTTGTGCTGTGGCCCCTCCAGCAGCCGAATCAGAGGAGGAGGAGGCGTGGGGGTCAGGGTTAGCATCAAGTCAGCCGGAGTGCTCCGAGGGGGAAGAGGGAATGGAGATGGCAGAGAGGGAGAGACCCAGAGTGAGAGAGAAACAGAGAGAGAGGCACAGAGAGGGAGGGAGAGAGAGAGAGAGAGAGAAGGAGAGAGAGAGAAAAAGACACAGAATGAGAAACAGAGAGAGAGTCACCGAGAGGGAGAGAGAGCGAGAGCGGGAGGGAGACAGGGAAAGAGACACACAGAGAGAAACAGAGAGAGGCACAGAGAGGGAGGGAGAGAGGGAGATAGATAGAGAGAGAGAGGAGAGAAAGAGACACAGAATGAGAGAGAAACAGAGAGGCACAGAGAGGGAGAGAGAGAAAGAGACACAGAATGAGAGAGAAACAGAGAGGGGGAGAGAGAGGGGGGGGGGGAGAGAGAGAGGAGAGAGAGAGAAGGAGAAAGAGAAAGAGACCCAGAGTGAGAGAGGCACAGAGAGAGAGGCACAGAGAGGGAGAGAGAGATGGAGGGGGAGCCTGGCCCGTCCGTCAGCCTTCAGTCAACATCCCCCAGGTCAGGAGAGAATAGTTTTTCTACAGAGAATTAAAAGAACTTTTAATAGGTCTCTGGTAGACTCCCCTACGCCGGGCTAATTTAACCACTGTGGACTTTGCCACAAAAAAGTTTATTTTGCAAAGAAGACTGATCTGTACAGGCAGGATGGGACACTGTTTTAAACCAGAATAGAAAAAGTCAGCCTGAAAAAGTCACCAGAAATCAGATGGTCAAGATCTTGTGGGATTTCTGTATACAAACGGACAAAATACTGGCGCATAATACACCAGACATCACACTGGTTGAGAAAAACAAGGTCACAATCATAGACATCGCAATACCTGGTGATAGCAGGGTCGCCGAGAAGGAACATGAAAAAAATCGCGAAATACCAGGACTTAAAAATCGAAATTCAACGACTATGGCACAAACCAGCAGTGGTAATTCCAGTGGTAATTGGCACACTGGGTGCTATTCCAAAAGCACCGGAATTACATTTAAAACAGTTAAAAATTGACAAAATCACCATCCGTCAAATGCAAAAAGCCGCACTGCTTGGATCTGCACGCATATTACGAAAATACATTACAACGTCCTAGGCCCCTGGGTGGGGCCCGACTAGTAACCAATGCCAAATCTGGCGAAACAACTGGCCGCTGTGATACAATTGTATAATAATACTCAGTCTACGATCATAGCTGTCTTTTCTTCCCCAACTCCTGTAAAATTAGATATAGCGGCCAAAAGAACCACCCCCCAAAAAACTATTTTTTACGACTGCATCGAGGGTTATCTTTATGGAACCGCTTCTAACCGCCTATGCATTCAAGGGGATCAAATCATTGTTGTTAACCCCCCCCCTCCCCCTTTGCAATTCCCAACCATGCCTCTCCCTTCTTTAATGGAAACCATTAGAGGTTCCCTTAAAGGTAAGGGTGTGAGTGCGTTTGTGTGTCTGTGTGTGTGCATGCATGCAAAACCCATGCCAAGTGAACAGCAGCGTAAAAAATCGAATCGCAATGTAACAATCCGGAAATCAAAAACAGAAGTTTACACACAGCTGCAGACTCAGAAAATATTTTCCAAATCCAGAGGGGGCGGGGGAGAAATCAATCAATCAATCTATCTATCTATCTTCAGTATCTTATCTATCTATCTATCTATCTATCTATCTATCTATCTATCTATCTATCTATCTATCTACCTACCTACCTACCTATCATCTATCTATCTATCATCTATCTATCGATAGCTATCTCTCCCTTTCTCTAATATCTATCTATCCATCTATCATTATCTATCCATCTATCAATCATTCTCTCTCTCTATCTTTTATTTATATATGTATATCTCTGTCTCTCATATCTTCTATTTTCTACCTACCTACCTACCTATCTATCCCTCCCTGCCTCTCTCTCTCTCTTCTATCTATCTATCTATCTATCTATCTATCATCTATCTATCAATCATTCTCTCTCTCGCTTTTATTTATATATGTATAAATATCTCTATCTATCTTCTATCTTCTACATACCTACTTATCCCTCCCTGCCTCTCTCTCTCATCCATCCATCCATCCATCCATCTATCTATCGTTCTCTCTGCCCGCCCACCCATCTATCTATCTCTATTATCCATCTATCAATATACCATCTATCTCTATTATCCTTCTAATCTATCTAATCTAATCTATCTTTTATCTATCTCTATTACCCATCTAATCCATCAATCAATCTCTCATCTTTCCCTCTCTCTGTGTATGTGTATGTATACACATCCACCCACCCTCTTGCGTGGGGGACTTCAAACATGGACCTATTCTGACGCACAACAGATGCAGCTGGTTCTGGATTCCTAACCCCAACCCGCTCCCTTATCTTTCGAAATTCAGCAAACTGAATTCAGCCAAGAGCCTTCACGCCCCACATTCTGTTACTGCTCCCTCTTTCAGCTTTCTGTCGGCTGGGCACAAATCCTCTCCTTGGCTTCTCACCTGGGAATGCAATTCAGCTTCAAATGCTACTTGGAGGTTTACTCCTGGGCAAATGGGTTACCATTGCCCCCCTCTAGAGGTAACCTGATTCCCCCCCCCTCCCCTTGCAAATCCCCCGAAAGTGAAGTGAGCCAGTCCCAAGTTGTGAATATTTACCACGATTACGGCAGAGTGGATTTATTTCCCCGCAGCTAGACGGGTTTCAACCTCCGGCAGGAGGGTAAAACATACAAAAGTGCTGGATCTCTCCCCCCCCCCCCGACTCCAAGAGGAGTGGGGGGAGAGGGATATGGGGAAAAAAGGGGTAGAGTTACTGACCCAATAGAAGTTGAATAAAAACCTTACCGCTTCTCTTTTGCCCGGGATGAGATCTGTACATGGCATCACCCCGGCCCAAAGCTGGAAGAGAAACTTCCTGTCCCTGCAGTAGGGAAGGAGGGACCGAGATGTACATGGGTGTGCATGAATACCAACATTCACACACACACACAGACACACTCAGACCGTGCCAGGCACAAGGGGAAGGGAGTTCCCAGCAAGGGGGCAGCTTTGCGACTAAGGGTCACAGACTCTGCCTCCCTTATTTAACCTGGCTCAGAAGGAGGGAAAACCAAATAAAAGTTAAGTTTCACTTTCTATTCTCCTCCCTCTGGCTCTTTCTCCATCGGGAGGGTGGGGTTTGGCGCCAGAAAAAGAAAGCACGTCCTTTTTTTTTTTTTTGAAAATTGAAATTTCGGTTCCCTTTCATCATCTTCAGGGGGGGGGGCAGGGCTATAGGGCCAGGTGTCTTCTCCAGCCCCTCTTGTCTTCAGTTATTTTATTTTTTTAAAGCACTTAAAAAAAAAAATAGCCTGTCAACCTGGCCAGCTTTGGGGATGGGCGAGATAGAAACGTTGAGAGAAAAGAAATGAAATAACAGAATAACCGAGTTGGAAGGGACCTTGGAGGTCTTCTAGTCCAACCCCTAGGAAAAAAAGGAAGGAAGGGAGGAAAAAAAGAATAGCAGAATAAGAGAACAACCGAGTTGGAAGGGACCTTAGAGGACTTCTAGTCCAACCCCTAGGAAAAAAGGAAGGAAGGGAGGAAAAAAAGAATAGCAGAATAAGAGAACAACCGAGTTGGAAGGGACCTTGGAGGTCTTCTAGTCCAACCTCCTGCTCAAGCAGGAAACCGTATACCATTCTGGATAAGGTGTTGTCCAATCTCTTCTTGAAAACCCCCAGTGATAGGAAAGAAAGAAAGAAAGAAAGAAAGAAAGAAAGAAAGAAAGAAAGAAAGAAAGAAAGAAAGAAAGAAAGAAAGGAAGGAAGGATGGATTAAAAAAATTAAACGGCATTCTTGGATTGAGGATGAAAAGAAAATTAAATTACGTTCTTGGATTGAGGATTAAAAAGTAAAAATTATATTCTTGGATTTAGGACTAAAAAAAAATTAAACGACATTCTTGGATTTAGGATTTTTTTAAAAATTAAATTACATTCTTGGATTAAAACGTAAAAAATCGAATCCCTTTCTTGGTTTTCGGCCGTTCTGAAATTCAGAAAACCTTACAGGGTGCTTATATAACCCCCATCCTCACAATCCCCTCTCAACCCAGACAGGATGGCAGAGACTCCGGGCGTCAAGAAGCCCGAATTGATCCGGAGATATTATCACAACGCATGAAGGACAGCTGTAAACAGGAGCGCATAAACTTTCCTTCCCCTGGTATTGGTTAACGGGCTCAAATAACAGGCTCACCTGTCCAGGTGCAAACCGAGAGGCGTGGAAGGTAAACCAAAGACCTCGCCGCCGACGGTCCCGGGGAAACTTGCGTAAGCCACAACCAAGTCCCGACCACCTCACTTTTAAGGGCATCCATCCACTGGTCTTCCTACCTGTACAGGTGACTGTCAAGGTGTTGGTTTTATAGACTCACCTGTACAGAAAATCCAGGGTGGATAAGGCCAGCCTCAAGCCACGGGAAACTGCCAGAATTTATAGCAGCTGCTTTCCCGGCTCACAAAATTTTAACAAAAAGGGCAGCAAAGCTTTGTGAAAACTGTTCTTGGGAAAGAGTCACGGAGGCGGGAGAAACCCTTGGAGGTCCTCTAGTCCAACCCACCCACCCCACCCCCTCCGCCCCGTTTGAGCGGGAGGCTTCGAGCGCAATCTTTCGCTACTCTAAGTTAACACAATTCTTTTCCCTACGAGATTTTTAATGGGAAGGTCCCTGGAGGGTCTTTGGGGGGGGGGGAATCACCGTTCAGCCCAAGCTACCTTGCAAGGTTGATGTCGTGGAGAAAACAGGAAGAGAGCGATTCAAAAAGGGAGAGAGAAAGAGGGAGATTGACGAGGTTACGTCAAAAACTTTTAAAGTTTTTGGTTAAGACGTTTAGGCTGGGCGACCGCGAGTTCTAATCCTGCCTTGGCTTGGCACCTCAACCTCCAGCTGGATCTACTCCACAGGTAATCCTGGATTTACAATTCATTTAGTGACCGTTCAAACTTACGACGCCACTGACCGAAGTGACTACTTACGGCCGTTCCTCCACACTTACGGCCATCCCCATGATCATGTGCCCAAATTTAGATGCTTGGCTCATACTTATGACGGTCGCAGCGTCCCCGGGCTCACACAATTCCCCTTTTGCGACAAGGGGGAAAGCTGGGTTCACTTAACAACGGTGCTCCTCGCTTAACGACTGGAGCGACTCCCTTAACCACTGTGGCGTCGCAAAACGGAGGGGGAGGGGGAGAAATCCACTCAACCACTGTCTCACTTAGCAACAGGAACCCTGGGCTCAATGGTGGGTCGTAAGGAGAGGACCACCTGTTCTGGCCAAGGGAATTTTCACGAGATCAGGGACAAGATGCAAGCTGCCCGCTTCTTTTTTCTCTCGTCTGCAGCTTCGCACACCTACACGCACAAACTCACACACACACACACACCGGAGAGACACTCTCTTCGCTACAGTTCACTGCACACGTCTAACACGGCCAACTGAGAACACCTTCCGTGCTTGGTCTAAATTGGCCGGTTATTTGAGTCAGGGAGATGAAATTTCATTGCAGATACAGTTAGCATACTTCCTTGTTTGATTTGGGGGGGGGGGGTGTTGTTAATTAAATGGGAGGGAACTTATTCACGGCACTTCCAAACACACTTTGGAGTTGGGGAGTTCATTGCCAAGGCCGAACACGTCATTTTCTTATCAAAGGGGAAAAGATCTTCCATTATCTTCAAGAGGAAATCTAAAATTCCTGCTAAAACCGGGGAGTTGAAGAGGCATACGGTTACCTGATTCACACACACACACAAACATACACACAGACACACAGGTCTTAAATTGTACCTGCACAATGGCCAAATCAGGAATAAAATGAGATTATATCCCCAAATTGCTGGAAAGGTAATCAAATACTGGGCATATACGACCACATGTGGTAGACATGCAAAAAAAGCGAAATAATTCTGGCGAGGTATTCAGGGGCGGTTGGAAGAAATGACCGGATGAAGGTTAGAATTTAAACCAGTGTTATTCTTATGAGGAATGGTATACGCCCAACAACGGAAAAATGAAAATATACCTTCGGAAAGGGAAATGATAAAGAAAATATTTGTAGGTGCAGAAATGGATAAATTGGTGCTAGAATTTTTTTTTAAAAAAAGAGAAGAATCAGAATATCGTGATACAGGGAATAGATTTTACCCATGGTTGGAAATGAGAAGCTGAAGTTGGAACAATACATAATTAGGATTTTTGATGTAATACAGGAATATGATGTAATATATGTAAATACAAATGAGTATATTGACTAGAATCTCTCTCTCTCTCATCTCTATATCTATCTATCTATCTATCTATCTATCTATCTATCTATCTATCTATCTATCTATCTATCTATCTATCAT